ACAAACTTCCTGTCTACATGCACTCATGTGGTGGCTGCATGGCTTTTCTCAGGACAGGTTTTCTGCTGGTGACAGCAATGGACCCACATGTACATAGTGGGGGGAGGGAATTTATCAAAATCTGGAGCAGTTGTCCATTGCAACCAATCAGCATTTCTATCTCATTTTCAAATCTTACCTGAGCAAACTGAAGAGAGATGCTGATTGGTTGCCATGCACAGCTGCTCCATATTCTGTCTGCTCCAGTTTTGACAAATTTCCCCCAATGTGTCTTCAACAGCTCCTTCTAGTCTCCATCAGAAGCTCGTGTAACAGAGTGACAATGCAGGAGCTTTTTTACCTTGTAAAAGAAAGTGCCTTAACAAGGACCTTCATGGTAGGATCATCCAGTATTATTTTAAAGGATAAGTGCACATTAAAACAAAATGCGCTTATTCTTTTTACCTCACCCCTGACATAAACAATCACACCCTCCCACTCTGCAGATCTGTACTTACCAAGATCTGATGGCCACGGTTCTGCTATTGTTTACATACAGCGCTGCAATGCTCCCTCTGCTGGCCGCACCTGCATGTTACAGACATATATACATCTATAGGGGCCCAGGTGGCCAGGAGAGAGAATTGCAGTACTAAGTGTCAACAAACAGCGGAGCAGCAGCCCTCGGATTTTGGTGAGATGAGATTTTAGTGACTGGATTTACATCTACTTTAACCTGCTTAGAACAAGAGAAATTTTTTCACACCTGTTGAAATCTGAATTTTTGGATAACAAATCACTTTAAACCCACAAATAATAATATATTTTCTCAAAGCACAGACCCTGTAGAATGTCAAACATTAAAATTGCATGTACCCGTGTAATGGCTAAAAACTATGGCACTCAAAATTTTCCATAGAAAATATTTTAAAAGCCTTTACTGCTCATCAGTTTAAAGTTAACAACGAACTACGGCCCTAGAATTATTGCTTTCACTTCAACGTTCAAAGTGATCCCTAAAGTGTGTCGCAATCCTTGTTTACATGCACATACATTGGGGCAAAAAAGTATTTAGTCAGCCACCAATTGTGCAAGTTCTCCCAATATGCGTGTGTTCATTCGCATGCAGATGATGGGGTCGGTTTTAATTTTTTTATTATTATTATTTGTTTTTATATTTTTTGCTTTTCTAAAACATTTTAATTTTTTTCTCTTAACTTTATTGCTATCACAAATGGGTTAGACAGAGGAGCAGGGGACCCCGAAAACCACGGTGGGGTGTTCACCACATGTGCAAGCTGCTACAAGTAATCTGGGTGGCTGTATAGCTGCCAACATCATTTGTCATTAACAAGCAGTACCTGCTTAAAAATTTTTTTTTTTCTCCTTAATACTGGATAGAGAAGAACCATCAAAAGTATTCTGTGTTTGCCTAGATTAAATCTTACAATTGGAATGTTTCAAAGATGGTAATTCAACCTACTGCTGCTGTAGTAGATCTAAAATGCAAATTGGGATTTAGAATGTGGCACATTTGCAGAGTTGCTTGGTGTGAATAGTCGATTATAACATTTTTTTTTTTTAAAGTTTATGGAAGTGTCACAAAATGACACTTCATACAGTTCTGTGTACAACAGTGTGTTGCATGTTGTTGTGCATTGTGTTGCAAAAAAAAGGAAAACATGCTTCGTTTTTGTGCAACACACACTATGCACATGTGTGGTGTGATCAGGGCACATTGAATACAACTGTTTTCTCTTTGTTCTTGCATTGAGCCTACATTGAGGCCTCGTTCACACAAGTGACAGTGCGTTGCGGCCCGATTCTGGCCACAACGCACTGCCTCTCATTGCGGCCGGCTCACTTTTTAGTGGGGCAGGAGGGGGTGTGGTGGCCATTGAAATGAATGGCACCGTAGCCACGGCCTCCGGCCGCAATGCGTTCGGCTGCACGGGATCGCAAGGTACATTATGCCTGCGGTCCGGTACGATCAAAATGCTGCAAGCACTATTTTGATTGCACCGGAGCGGACCAGAACGCACTACATTGGGTGTGAACGGGCCCTGAGGCTAGGTTCACGCCAGATGCACTGCGTTCCGGCCTGATTCTGGCCAGAACGCACTGCCTCGCATTCCGACCGGCTCACTTTTTGGTGGGGCAGGAGTGGACGTGGCGGGCCATTGTGCCTGGGGTCCGGTGCGATCAAAATGCTGCAAGCACTATTTTGATCGCACCACACCGCAGGCACAATGTGCCCTGCGATCCCGTGTAGCCGATCACATTGCGGCCGGAGGGCGTGGCTACGGTGCCATTCACTTCAATGGCCCGCTACGCCCCCTCCTGCCCCACAAAAAAGTGAGCCAGCCGTTCTGGCCTTAATCGGGCTGGAACACACTGCATCTGGTGTGAACCTAGCCTGACCAATGCTGATCAACACAGCTCAACACACCTGGTGTGAATGAGCCTGAACAGTTTAGAGATCGATTTGTTCCTGGAATTGTACAGTTTATACGTTTTGATTTTTATCTTTTACTACAATGAGCTTGTTGCTATTATTACTCCTTGACTGTGACTATTGTGGCAATAGTCATGGAGATGACGTAGGAGAGAACATAAAGGGACCATGTGACAGTTGTACTGAGCTACAGGAAAGACTTGCCAGCCGCCAGTGCTTGGATTGGTCCACACTGGCTGTCCCAGAATCATTTTTCTGAGAACCGCTGACCTAAATGATAGCTTCCCTTTAAAGATAATAAAGTACTAGACGAAACCCTCTAACCTCAGGGCTGTGAGGATAAATATTAAATACTACCCATGTTGAGAACATCTGCAAATGCAATTTTAGAACTTGCAATGATGTGTTTTTTACAATGGAAGGCAATTGTTAATGTTTCTAAATATAAATGGCCATAACCTACACCATTTCGTGTTTTCCCATTGGATATGAAGGCGTATGAAGCTCCAGAACATAAAAAGATGTTCCAAAACACTGGAAAACCAATCATTTTTACATCTCTGTATATATTCTGTCAATGGATCTGAAACTTTGCAGCAAAGATTTAAAGAGAACCTAGCATATAGCAGATATGTTTCATGTTAAATGGATGCATTCAAGTAATGTAGAAGTGCAACACTTCCAAGTATTTATTACCTCTCATAGAGATCACAAAGCTCCCCCTGAAGCTGGCTATACACTAGCAGGACTCCATTCAGCTCACAGGCTCCATGAAAAAAATCTAACAGATTGCTCTATCAACGCTAAACAATAAGGGTGGAGAAACCCCCCTATTGGGCTATTGTATTCCTGAACATTGACTGTTACTAATTATCTGCAGTCACTATTTGGCTAACAATATCCTGCTTCAGATTTAAGGATGTTGGACGAAAAGCTGCCGACAGGGCCACCTGCAGGGCAGATTTTGGCCAAATCATCAAGTACATTTAAAAACCATGCACTGCAAACGTTTAGTTTTATTTTGGTGGAGTAGGGGAAGTGTGTGTATATGATCTCCACATTTGAAGTCCCAATTGGATGTTCCATTGTTATAGAGTTGCTCTTGCATTCTGCATCATTTGCTGCATTTCCTTGTACTCTGGGACAAAGAAGGAATAAGTGGGGGCAGTCTGGGCAGCACAACATTTTGAAAACTTCAATGGAGGGTTTTCACTAGAGAAAAACGTAAAAGTTATTAGGCAGCTGTCAGTTTTAAGGAGCATTGGCTATGCACCAATGCCATTTTTTCGAGACCAAGTACCAATACTTGTCCTTACAGATACCAATTACTGATACCTTTTTCTAAATCAATACAGACTAATGATTTCAGTGGTACAGACAGTGGTTGAGCGCCAGAGCCCAGTTGCAGCTCTCGTGAAAATGCCAAGTATCGGCACTGGTATCTAAACTGGTGTCTGTGCTTCCCTACTAGCAAGCTTCAACTGGCTGAGAACTTTGTGGGAAATTAATCCTGTATCTACTGTACGTTATGTATGTTATGTGAGGTAGTGTTTACTACTAGACTTTCTTTAAAAATATATCCATTGGAAAAAAAAAATTTGGGTAGAGGAGGGGAAGGTTAAACACTTATTTATTTCCTTTCTGTGTTCAGTTGGGAAATGCTACCTCCACTTCCTGTCTCATAGACACAATAAAGAAGTAAGAGGAAATCTCTACAAGGCAGCTATTACCCAGAACAGGTGTCCTCAATGGAAGATTTCCTCTCACCTACTGGTGACAGTTGTAAAAGATTGGATTTTGAATAATTTTTCTGTCCCGGTGACCATTGTCATAGAGTATGAATCTTACCAGTGGAGACACAGGAGAGGAATAGAGAGGACACCTGCTCCATGTCCTCAGACCTCAGTGCTGTGGATGTATCTCCGTTCCCCTCTCTCCCTCGCCAATCACAAAATGAAGCCTGGAACTGTTTGCTTTGTGATTGCTCAGTAGGAGAGGGGGTGGAGATGCCACTGCAGCACTGAGGTCTAGGAGACCTGAAGCGCTACAGCAGGAGCGGGCACAGAAATTCAACAGGAGTTGGACTACCACCCGCAGGTATGCTTAAAATGGAGGAAATGTTTTTATGGCATGTGAGTTTTTACACAAAGGGCCTGTACAAGTTACTGAACTGCCATAAGTGTATTGTGCCCAGAGATGGGCTTTAAAACGCCTGTATTTTTGAAAGGAGCAGGTGAAACATAGACTGTTTGCCATAACAACCAATCTAGCCATTTTATTTCCACCCCAGATATGAAAGTGAAATGAAACACTGGACTGTAACACTTTCCACTATCTCTGTAAGATAAAGTAGTTGCGTTTTTTCCCCCTTTTCAATCCTTGTATTTTCATAAAAAAAACCTCTTGCACAGTAAGGAGGGGAATCCCAAGCATTATTCTGTTTTGCATGCCCTCCTCTACAGCCAAATGACAGTAGTAGTCTGAGCTGGAGAATCACAAACTGCTGTAATTATACAGTACTGATTTTTGCAGAAAACCGCATTTGTTTGCCCATTCTGTTTTTCAGTTTCCATAGCGAGACGTGTACAAGATCCATTAGCTGAGCTTGTGAAAATTGAGCCTAAACACATTGGCGTCGGGATGTACCAGGTAAGGCTTGCTGACTATTTCCTCCTTGAAAGCCAACTTCTTTGAGTGGTGGCAAAGCAAGAGCGCTGCCCACTGGAGCAGCAGTGGCGCGACGTTCGGCGAGGTAAGCGAGGTAAGTAAGAAGACACCTGACTCTGACTCGAGTATAAGCCGAGGGGGGCACTTTTCAGCCAAAAAAATGGGCTGAAAATCTCTGCTTACACTCGAGTATATACGGTACCTGTGTAAAAGTCTAAGGCTGGTGTGATAAAATGCTGTAAAGTAAGAATGCTTTCAGAAATAAGTGTTAATAGTTTATATTTATCAATTAACAAAATGGAAAATAAATTAACTGAAGAGAAATGAAATCTCTCCTAACTATGAAACAAGTTTATTTGTTGTAGTTTGTATATGTGTTTAGAATTCTTATTTTTACAACAACAAAAAAGTAAATACGCTCTCAAAAACCCATAAGGATAATATTAAGTAAAAAGATTTAAAAGAAATATATAATTACTTTTTTTTATATTTTGCAATAACTGTTGCTTCTTATTATTGTTCTCATGATGAGTTTACCTTAAATGGGAAGTCAAGTGTAAAAAAATGAAAACATTGCTGAAGGATAAGGATTTTTGGCAGAAGAGACATGCAAAGTATTTTCTGCCAAAAGTTTCTTCCTTTCTCACCCCCGGCAATTTTTTAATTTCGGTGTACACTGTACGATCCATGCGCCGTGCCGTGTATATACTCGGCTCATTAACGCTATCTCTAAGATGGTGTGAATGGTCCAGGTGCTGCGGAGGATGTAACTCCTGTGCGCCTGCACAGGAGTTATGCCATCAGTGGCCACCGAATGGTCGAAAAAAACTTCCAAAAACCTGAAAGTGTTAGCAGTGGAGAAAGTGGCGGCGGGGGACAACACTGAGGACTGAAGATTAATCTGACAGTGCTTTGCATACTTGCACATTAGGGCAAAAACAAAACAAAAACAAATCGGTTTACTTACGCTTTAAATAATAAAAAATACTTTTACACTAGGTTCCTTTTGTTACAGTTCATTATATAGACATGCTGTGCTGTCTTTTTAGGAAGCACAGCAGTGTTGAAATGTTTGGATGCAGCTAATGCTAATACTGATGAGTTGGTCTGTGCTGACTTGCTTCATTTGATTGTGGTAGGCTGCATGCTTGAGGGTTTGGATCTGAGAACTATTTTGAGGCAACCTATGCAGTTGCTTTTCTTATACAGCTTTCCCCATGCCACAGGCTTTGGCCTCATTCACACGGACATACATAGACCTGTGTGTGGGAAGGACGGGTGCTGCGTGTACCCGTGGACCTGTTCTTCCCACACGTAGGTTTCTGCATGGATGTGCACGCTGTATGCATGTGCATGTCCTGTGAATAAAACAGATGTTGACTGCCATATATTTCCATGTTAATGCTGCTTCCTTTGATCCCGTTCATTTCTTCTCTGGACTGGTTTTCCAGCCTATACTGCACACGAGTCTACGCCAGTGACAAAACATGATAATTTGATGCTTGCATACATGTAAATGTAGAGGGGAAACAAAAACAAAAAATAAACATTTGTGTACCCTTTATTGGTAAAATCTGAAAGCAAATGGTAAAGCTTCCACTTTACTTCAGTCTCCCTGGGACTATTCACTGTAAAACACTGTAGACATATTTTTTTTCCCGGTACTCGCCAATACCGATACCGGAAGTCCCATTAAGGAAGCCAGGTGGCGTGTAATGACTCGCCACCTGGCTTCCTGATTAGCCGGGAAGGCGGGCGGCGTGTGCACAACAGACAACACACTGCACAGTAAAATTCTTTAGTAATTGAAATAATAGAAATAAATTCCAAAGCAGAAAATAACTGTCCATTTTACTTCCCTTCTGCCTTCCACTCCAAGCACGCATCCGTGATGGACTATAACTTGAGTGCAAATTAGTAAACTAAACATAAGGAAGGACAGTGTCAGGACCAATTCAGAGATGATTTGAGGTCCTACAGCTGAGTGATACACAAATAAGATACATTTTTGTTAATAGTTAAGGTACTTGAATACATTTTTCAGATTTAACTCCTGAGTTTAGTGTCACTTAAAGTTATCTTGGTATTGAAGCAGGTTTTTAACCACTTCCGGGCCGGCCGTAGTAAAAAAACGGCCGACCCGGAGCTCTCTAGATCTGACGTCCGCTCAGACACGCCGGCGCGTGCGAGCGGGAAACTGCATAAATTTAAAAACAGGCAGCAGTGCCTGTTACCATACAAGCGAGCCGCCGGCTGTAGAACTCTTTACTATGGGATTGAATACTTTTTTTCTTACCTTCTTGATGTTGGTAATTTTGGCTCCAGGAGGCAGATCATCATCCAAGTCTGAGATCTTGCCAGAACGTGAAGCTCTGCTGCGTCTATTTTTTAAATCCAGGAAATGGATTGTAGTTCCTGTTACTGTCTTTAGATTCCATAGGCCAGCTGCTATGTATATTGATTTGTTTGCCATAAGGGTATGCTTGAAGGATGGACAGGAATTGCTAAAAAGAAAATAAAGGCTGGAAGGTGTCATTTCAGTCCTTGCTGTCAAATCCGGCCTGTTCAGTATATAATGTAAGACATTTTTTTCTCCTTTACCCTTGGTTAGTAACATTATAGGTTTTTGTGTTATGATGAGGTTGGTGTTAAGGTTTATTCTAAAACATGTTTGCTGTACTAGTGGTCCAACTTTTTATACTCTTAATGTAACACTAACTCAGGAGTTAAATCTTAAAAATACATTCAAGTGCCCTAACCATTGACAAAAATGTATCTTATTTGTGTATCACTCGGCTGTAGATCCTCAAATCATCTGTGAATTGGTGCCGACATTGTCCTTCCTTCTGGAGGGTGGCTACTTTTGTTCCCCATGGTCCCTGTGTGTGTTGTAAAGTAACCAACGCTCCAGGCTCACTCCCGTGATGGACTACAATCTCGCGTTTAGTTTACTGAATTGTATTGAAGTTATCGTCCATCACTGGAGGGAGCTTGGAGCCGTGGCTATTTTACAACCACTGAAATGTTATACTAAACACATGGAAGGGATCTTTGTGATGCAGTCATAAAAAAAACTGTCACAAATTAGAAATGTCCTTTAAAGTACATTATATCTAAACCCATTTACTAACATCTCATATAACCATTAAAGTTATAATAAAGTCAAAAGGTTTCAAATGCTGATAAATCATTTACAATGGATGCTGCTCCTTGATTTTTAAAAGTTTACATTGCCTGAGAATCAGCTGGTCCCCTGAGCACTGGCCCTGATAACCTGCTTTAGGGTGACTTCTTTTCCTTGCAGGGTCCTATAGAGACACCCTTAGTGTTTGTTAGTAAGTTGTGTGTCCCCACAAACACATAGACACGACACGGCAAGGCAAGTAGCTCCCCTGCTCCTCACTCCTCCCTCATCCCTTCTCCAAGTTTGTAGATGGACAGTTGCTAGAGACTACTCTCTCCCTTGTCATCTTGTACTCTACAGATAGTTCAGGGAAGTGGAGCTAAAAGAGTTTGAGTCAGCTGTTTGAAACATGATGACTGTAAGTGCCTGGGTAAAGAAATACTTTGCGGGGGAATGTACTGTATATTTGTTTGATCTAGATACATTATTTTTAAAAAAGTTGAGAGTTAAAAGAAGAACTGCGAGCAGTTAAAAAATATTCACTCTTGCAGTGCAGCTACCCCTGCACTGCAAGGATTAAGTTCTCGTTTTGATCTAGGGTATGAAATAAAAAATATACTCACCTTATCTTTGGTCCTGCTTGGCTGCTAGACTGGTCCCTGCGACCTCATCTCACCCAGCCAGTAGGTGTGCACTGCAGGGGGCGGGGCATGTGACACACACTTCTCTCCCGACTCCTGTTACTAGGAACACGGCCGGGAGAGGAGGTGAGTCACAGTACCCGCCCCCTTGCTGAGAAGCCCGCCGGCAGTGCGGGGCCCCAGGACCCTGCACTCCCGCATATTCCACCAGGGGGGTGCCCAGGACCGGACCTCACTGGGCCCCCCCCACAGCCTCAGGCCCCGGCAGTAGTTCCTCCTCTGGACAGGGAGCCGCAGCAGAGGGATGAAAGAGCCACATGCAGCTCCGGAGCCGCGGGTTGCTGACCCCTGGTCTAAGCCCTGCTGACGTCATCACGTGCAGTACAGGTCCATTGACTGTGTTATACAGTGGGGCAAAAAAGTATTTAGTCAGCCACCAATTGTGCAAGTTCTCCAGTTGCAGAGGGATATTCCACAGATGGAGCTGAGCTGTAGAGAGCTGAGTGGTCACTGCTGCAGGACCAGGATATGGGTGAGTATATCTTTTTTTTAATTTTAGACCCTAGACCAAAATGAGCACTTAACCCTTGCAGTGCGGGGGCAGCCCCGCTGCAAGGTTTAACTTTTTTTTAACATCCCGGAGTTCATACATACAAATTCAATGTAGCTTTGTAATGCCAAAAGTCAATTTCAATGTTTTTAGATATTCAGCTTCAATTAAAAGTAGAACCTGGTGAACCCATGATTACCCTATCACAGGCTTCCGATGGAGGCTACAAGCAACCATTAGAACACACATTTTGCAGGAAAGGTCCACTGTTGTCACCATCAGTAAACCTGCCAGGAATGCTACACAGCCATTTCTGGAGTGCATTTAGACAAGAACCGGCTGCAGGAGATCAGTAGCACTGATATGCAACAGAGTTAGATAGTTTGTCGGGTTCAAACAAAAGATAAAAATTCAGTTAAAAGCAAAAATCCCTTCTAAACAGCATGGTCCAACTTGCATCAAAAGACACAGGGGGGAATTTATCAAAACTGGAGCAGACAAAATCTGGAGCAGCTGTGCATGACAACCAATTCAGTTAAGATTTGAAAATGAAAGATAGAAGGTGATTGGTTGCCATGCACAGCTGCTCCAGATTTTGTCTGCTCCAGTTTTGATAAATTCTCTTCTTAGTGCCTAAATGTCATTCAGTTAAGGTTTACATCTGCTT